GGATGACAACAATACTGAAATGCTGAATATGAAACATTCAAATACTCTATCTTACTCCCCAAAAATTATTTGTGATAAATCAATTACCATTATAAAACATGAGCTGAAAATTAATTACAAGCTGTCAGACACAATCACGGAAGCTAATATTTATAAATAGGAGTTGGTATGTTATATCTACACACGTAGTTTCTATAGATTCAAATATAGTTATTACTCTAGGGATTAATGATAAACATGATTCTTTAATTTATCATAAATTCCTAATTTTATAGAAGAAATTAAACCATAGGTTAATTTCTAACACAGGATTTGAACCATTCATTTTATGCCAAAGATACTGTAACTTTATAAATACCTCAGGAATTAATTTAGCTAGTGAAAACCAAGTGCTGAATTGCTATTCAGATACTTTAATCACCAACAGATTTCTCTTTCAAGGGTATTTTCAGTAAAAGCAGTTCTCTTTATTTACTTTTTGTGGATGATGCTTACCACATATGGTAGAAAGGAGAGTTATGTGAAATGAAGGTGTATTGAAACATAAATTCTCCTAGTTCCTCATAGAACTTGACTAGTCAACGTTAATAAATAGTCTGCCCCATTTTTATCAACAGCCCTCCACTTAATTAACAGTCTCATCTCATAGTCTTTGAGGATGTCCTTCTTAGGCCTTCTGAGCCTTAAACACCACCTGGAGCTAAATCATTTCCCCAAAACTGAATGCACATATTAGAACCATGACTACCTAACACTTTTTGAAATTAAAATGTTTCTGTAACATGAGTATTTTTGCAAACTTTACTCCCTTTTATAAATAGGACTAAAATCCAGTAAAATTTAGAAATGACATTCCAATTAAGGACATTTTTTTATCTATGATTATATACTCAGGCCAGCTGTTTGAAATGGAAATAAAAGTAGCTATGCTTTTTGTAGTGTACAAAATATTGTGAAATCCTTCAAAAACATTGTAGATCAAACAGACAAATGTAAACTTCACTTCAGTTGAAAGATTAATTTTATTTGATTAGTTAAAGTGAAGATCTAGTAAACCAAATATTTGGACTCATTCACTCTGTCAATGCAAGAATTTCTGTTTGAAAGAAATCTGATTATATTTACGAGGAACTAGATCAACAGATGGTTAGCTAGAGAGTTTTTCACAGTTAAATTTTGAAATTTAAACATGGCTAAGTTTGACACCTTCTCAAACAATTTTGATGAGGTCATTTGATCTATTCTAGCAAGGCAGTATTGTTGGACATAATCATTTTTAATTTATGTTTGAGAAACATTCAACTTGTATTTTATTTATTATTGTATCTGGCTGAAAACTATACTGATTGAGTTGTTCACATTGGTGCTATATTTACATGTTGTTAAGGAAGTATTATAAAAAGGAAATCAACAGCTACAAGGCATCATGAGAAGAGTTCCTTAACATAATAATAATATTCCTCTAATGAAGTATTTTATTCAAGCTACCCGAAGGGGCCATCATTTGCATACAGTGGTTTCGGCTATCTGTCTATTGTAGTGTAATACCCATGTGGAAAATGGATATTACCACGCGGCATGATGACTTTAAAAGTTAATTCCAAATATGACTTGGGAGCCTCCTAGGCCTTAGGTGTTTCTGAAAACAAACAGAAAAACCCTCCCATTGCCTCATGAATAAGAAGATGAGAGTTTCCAAGAAAATTGTTTTGTAATCCACGTACTTAAATACAATGAGGCGAAAGTAATTTTACAGTTGTTCTTATGGAAAATAATACAATACTTAATACATAATGTACTCATGAGTGTAAACCTACTTTTGCCCCACTCTGTATCCTTTCTCCCTGGAGTTGCTCCCCATATTCCCACTGTTTTGAGAACAAGGGTCCTGGGAAAATACAAGGATGGAAGGAAGGCTGAGGAAAAGCAGGTACCCAGATTTGAGGACAAAGAAGACATTTAGTGTATTTATTTGCTTTTTCTTTTAAAATGAAGTTTTTGAATTATGATTTTTTTACAGATGCCTAAACCTGATTACTCTTCTTTGCAAACTGCTTTTAAAGGTGTGAGCTGGTGTTGTAGGAACCACAGGTTCTCAGCAGAGGAGCTGTGCAATCTTTGGCAATTTTCTTGATCCCACTTAGCTTCAGGAGGAAAATGGATCTATTAATCATGGCTTCTCTTACTGCCTCAGGGTATTAATCAAAGGAGACTGTGTGGAAGCATTTTGCAAACACTAAAATGGTATGTGGATTTAATGTTAACACTTTATTATGCTTCTGTGACTGTATCATCTAAACCAGTGCAGTCACTTTTAATGAGCATTGTTGGTTTGTATTTTATTTACTTTTTCTGTGATAACTTTCAAGTGCGGGTAGATTGGGGCAGCAATTCACTGCGTGGGCCATGTTCGAATGTCACAGGGGGTGGGGGCCATTGCTGTGGAACTTTTATGTTCCCAGACCATCAGCACCCACACCCCTCTTTGCTTCTCCCGTCTCCTGAATGCCCAGACTGCCAGATTGCGGAATGCTCCGTCTCCCCTTGCTATCTCAAACTGAATGGATTTTACAAAGTGTTGATTTGACCGAATTAACTGATATACGGATAGAAGAAGGGCTGTGATTTGGCTCAGAGTCAATTCTGATTTGGATATCCCACTGTGTTTCCGTCCTTCGGAAGAATCTTGTATTATAGCGCTTCTGAATGCGTGGAGTGCACTTTTCAGTTCAGTGACATTTGTTAAATCGATGATTATGTCATTTTTCTTCCTTCTAGATTGTTTATGTAAAAGCATTGTGAATCTGGATCTGTCAGTGATCTTTGTGCGATACCGTTTTCTTCCTTCCTATAGCTGGTTACATCAATATTATTATTATTTCTGTTGTTTATGGTCCAATTTATGTCAATTCAGTTGATTGATAGTTTCACCTTAGAGCCAATTTGAATTAATTTTTCATGAAAGTTTATAGAGCCACATAAGGTCTAACTTTATTACACATCTTGTCTTCACTGATCAATTCATTTAGGTGTGGCGTTTTTAAAAAAATATACATTTATTCATTGATTTCAGAGAAGAAGGGAGAAGGAGAGAGAGAGAGAGAGAGAGAGAGAGAGAGAGAGAGAGAGAGAAACATCAATGATGAGAGAGAATCATTGATTGGCTGCCTCCTGCACGCCCCCCACTGGGGATCAAGCACTCAACCCAGGCATGTGCCCCTGGCCGGAATCAATCCTGGGACCCTTCAATCCGCAGGCAGACGCTCTATCCACTGGGCCAAGCTGGCTAGGGCGGCATTTTTCTTTCTTTTCTTTTCTTTTTTTAATCAAAAAAGATAATCAGGTTTGTCAAACTATTTTTCTTTTTAAACCTCAGCTATTTATTGCCCACAAGTTTCATTATTCTGTAAGTATTTGAAGAGTATTTCTACTTATATTTTATTATTTAATTAGAATCAGCGTTAAATCAATTCTATGTGGATTTAGAAAGACATTTAAAGTAACACAATGATAGCATTACTATATTTATAGTGATGGTATTTTAGAGACTAAGGTGGAGAGGTTTTCCTAAACAAGGCAAAAGTGGAAGGACTCACACAGATAAGGTTGACATATTTAACTACATAACAAATTAAAATTCCTGTTCTGCAAAGGAAGAGACCATAAACAATGTTAAAAGACTAACGATAGATTAGGAGAAGAAAATAAATACATCAACTATGCAAAGAGCTTCTGCAAAACAACAAGAAGCTACCCAATAGGAAAATAATTTAATTTAGCACTTGAAGAAATATAAATGTCAAAAAAATGACATACACAGATATTCAGAGAGTGGAGGTGGAACAGGGCATAAATGGTGTTGGAAAAATTAAAATAAAAAAGAGAAAATAGAAATTAAAACAAATTTTTAAAATAGTCCACATTTTACAAAATTAACAATATGCAGTCATGAGGAAAATTGTTGTAGTGAAAATTGGTACAATCTTTTTGGGAAGGTGACTTGGATTCTGACACCTAAATATATTGAAGGACAATGAAAGACAAGACAGCAAAGCTTCTTTTTAGAGAGATCTGAGGAGATCCCGAACACCCTATAGAAATAATGACACAAGTAATAGATATATGTGTAAGGATTTTATGAAATGGCAGAAAATACAAAACAACCTAAATGTTGTTCAGTAGCAAACAATTAAGTAAATTATCGTGTCTTCATTCTATAAAATAGAATGCTGATATATTCTGGATAGACACTTCTGACACATAATTAAGTTCAAAAGCAACTTAGAATATGCCACAGTCGTATTTGTTATTAAACAAAAGGCTGTGTGGCTAGGTCCATGCAGAAAAAAAATCTAAAAGAAGTTTACTGAACACTTACCTGGGGTAGGAGGGTCAAGAGTGGGGTTTCTCATAAGCTACTTTAAATATTTTTATAAAAAGTGAAGAGATTTATAGGTGACACAGATATTTACTGTTTATTATGTGTGTAGCATTTTTTCACAATTAAAAAAGTCAAGCATAAAAGATTGCATGAATAAAAGTGTTAATATTTCCTCTAGGTTCTTTTGCTCTCCATTATTTGCCCCTCAAATTTCATTACCTAAAACCATATTCTTTCATGTTGTTTGGATCAAGAATGAATTTAAAAATAATGATGATATTCACGAACAATATGTATTTTTGCTTAATCACAGATATTTGAACTTCTTTACTAGTAATTCTATTTTTGAAGAAAACTCATGCCATTTAAAATACTTACTGATTATATTGCAATGTCAGTGACTTTATTGAGTTACAATAATGGGTAATTTTCAGTTTAACTTTGTAAATTAAGCCATTTCATGCTTATATTTTAACTATGATCATAGAACGACTTTTTAAATAGCAGAAGAAATAAAGATTTCTTTTGTGGGGCGAAAATTCTCACTTTCAGCTTTGACAAGCGATTTTGGAGTATGATTTTATCTTTCTGATCCCCTTACATGTGTTTGTGTTGTCATTTGCCCATTCTGTCTCCTGGTCCAGGAGTGAAAGGACAATGGCTTTTGCCTTTAAGGTTACTAAATTCACACTTTAATCTTTCAGGGGCTGCTATTTCCCGGTCACACTTGGATGTCTGATTGTCAGCTTTATGTCTCAGAAAGTATTCCCCACAATTCAGGTACAGTAAAGTATCTAGCTCCAGCTAGCCTCTGTGTACTATATAACTTTTATAGTCATTATAAAAAATAATTTATTGAAAAAACTTAAACCTTTTCCAACTCAAGTGACTTTTGATTTAAATGTCTCTGATCCAGGCTATGGTAATCAGCAATGGCAGGCTTTTATTTTTCCTGAATGAAGTTTGCCGTTTAGATTACAAAGTTTAGAAAATACAAAAGTAACATCATCTTAGAGATAATGGGTTAGAAGAAATGGAGGGTCTATAGTCTACATTTTATCATTACTTGCTTTGGAATCACATTTAATACAAGGCCTGCGGACATGTCCTATTCTTTGTGTCATATTTTTTCTCTTCTATATATTTTTACTTTATTTGGGCTGCTGCATAGTAAACTCTAAAATATAGCAAGCCTCACTCTGCTGTGACTGTTTATTGGAAATACATTGTTAGGTGAAATTATGAGAAGCAAGTTAAGCTATTAACAGTAATGTTAGATATTTAGAATAATAATTAATTATTAGAAGATTTTTAGGAGGTCATTTAAAGGTGGTGGTGCAGGCATCAAATCTCTGTAAATGCTTAACTGTTTAACCTATAAAGACATAAACTCCCAAATGTTGTGATCTGAATTTGAAGGTGCTGAGCTGACAACGGTATTTCCTATGCCCACGGATGTAGCTGACAAGACCAATGTGTCCTCTGCACCCTTAGACACCCTGGTCAGGGATTGTATCCATGGCTTGGCAAGATGTGTTTCACTACCTGTGGGTTTCTTTGTTACCTAGACTTGGGCATTAAAATGAAATCACCGGTTACTCAAATGCAAATGCAAATAGCACCAATATATTTTTATATTTGCCAACTGAGCTCTTCTGACTTGTGGTCCAAGCAATTAAGTCCTCCTTCATTGGTGGGTAGTTTGATGTGCCACGACCCAGAAATGTAATTTGTGTTGATACATGCTACTATTTTAAAAGAAAGCGATTTGCATATGAGTTTGGTCAGAGCAGCTCTTCACTGCTTTTTTTGTTGTTGTTGTTGTTTTTGGTACCATCTAGCTCCCCATATTATCTAATTACTAATGCTAATGTTATAGCTGGTTTTCTTCTAAATGCATGGACTTTTTAAAAAAATTTTTAAAATATAGTATGGCACTGAAACAGACATGTTGAAAACAGTCTCAGACTACAGTTACGAGGGAATCTGTTTTCTCGTTTCTTTGTTTTTATAGATCCTGATGCTGATTAAGGTATGAAAGAGGACGTGATTGTTGTCTATGGAAGCTTTAATATCAATCTCATCTGTCAACTTTAAAATATATTGAAGGACAATGAAAGACAAGACAGCAAAGCTTCTTTTTAGAGAGATCTGAGGAGATCCCGAACACCGCCAACTTAGTAGGATAGCTTAAGTGAGCGTGTGGGAAAAAAATCCGCCCATAGTAAAAGAAGCTTCAAAAGAGGACTGTGTGAGAGAGCTTTACAGATGACGATGTAAGCAAGAAAGTACTCATTCTGACTGAGTGTGACTCCTAACAGAGTGGACAGTTTTGAACCACGCCTAGGCTTGCAAGCGGTGAAAGAAAAAGCAGAGGGATCCGGCAATAATTTCTTCAGTCTCTTTTTGAGGAATAATAGTCCTGCAAGGAGAAACTATGCTTCAAAGCATTAGCAGGATGAAATGTAATTTTCATCTTGATAAGAGTAAGCAGCCAGTTTAAAACTCACCTGAAGGAGCAGAAGCCGCGAAGCTCCTGCCTCTATGAAGCATGTCAGAGCAGTTTTGGAACCTAAATTAAGGTAAGTGGTGACAAAACCTATTCAAACATTCCAGCGTCTATCTAACTTGATTCAGTGTGTGCAGTACACCTCAACTCAATGGGATGCAGAGCCATACAGCAACATTCAACGATGTTTGAGGCCATCTTTATTTAAATCCTGATTCTAATATTTCTTTTGGAAACCGATATCTAATTAATTCTTATTTGTTAACTCAGTTGTATTTTAACAACAACAAAAATTTTCTAAACGAGACATGTAATAGTTGGGAAGCTCCAGAAGCTGTAGGATAATCAAGATAAGGTCAATGCTGCCCTAGATAGCACTACTGCCACCCAGTGGTACATAAATGAATTTGTAGGCATGGTTCAGGTACAGAGAGCAGTATCTAATTAATTAAATATAATTTCAGCAGCAGCAACCATTCTTCCAGATATCATCATTAAATATAAAAGAAATTTTTTACTAGTGACTGAAAGTAGCAAGTTTTACCTTCTTATTTACTTCAAGAAAGGACAACCCCTCACTTCACAACCTTCCATTATTCTTAAGTCTCTCCACACTCCATTGCCCTTATAATTGCATATAGAGAGTTTATTTTAGAAAAGAAATAGAAAGCAACGATAATCTCCTAGGCTTGTAAATTTATTTGGTGATTACGAAGGTACTTACTGCCAAATGGGCCATTAGGTAGACAAACAGATACTTCTTAAAATATTTTATAATATAAAAATGGATTTTATGGATTTTTCCATTTCCTCAAATGCATAACATAATTTCAACACTTCACATCCTTGTAATTATTGAAGATTTTTAAGGGTGGCTAGTGAATACCTTCATGGCTTTCTCTCCTTCACTGATTCTTTGTTTTTAACACATCTGTAAACACATATTTGATATTTTATGTTCCTCATATTCAGGTTTCATCTTATTTTCATTGTGACTTTAATTTGTGGATGTGAATAATTACACAGTTTATTTTCTATCTCAAAGAGAAAAAAAGTGCTTGCAGCCATAGCCTATGAACTATATACAGGAAGGCATGTTACTCCATCAGCAGGTCAGATAGGAAGATGGTCCTCTTCGGAAACACATTCAAGCACGATGTTCCTGGGAAATAAGAAAATAAAGGCATAGCTAGCGAACCCTGGCATTTTCTTGCATTTCTATTATGAACTTTAGGAAGAATATAGTATTTTACTACCCGTAAAACGAGTACTATCAACTTGAGGGGCTTGAGAAGCATTATTTATCATATTTACTCCTCCCAAGGGTCTGTTAGAACCTCTGTGTGAGTGAGTGACTACTGGATTGTGCGTCTCAAGAACCCCCCAACCCCATCCGAAGGTATGTCACCTCTACTCAGACCTCCATATCCAGCCCAAACACTGGAGAGCAAAAGAATCTAGAGGAAATATTAACACTTTTATCAATTTGGTTTAAAAACTTATCCAAAATTAGAATGTTTTACATTTCATTCTGTTTTGTTAAGTGAAACTATCATTAAGTAATTTTAAAACACGCATAAAAACAATCCCTATTTTATAGTCACTTATACCTCTTTCTACCTCTTTATTATTTATCTGGTTTTATGCCTAGAGATGTCTAGGTTGATGTTCACTTATGGTTAGTAAGAAAAACTTCTAGCTTGTTGGATTTTAAATCATTATTTCCTTGTGTTTTGGCTTGAATTTCACTTAAAAATCATGTATCATTTGTAAAATTAATTTTTTAAAATAAAAATAAAATCTGATGTTTTAACGTTAGCTCAGACCATTCCCTTTTCGTATGATTTTTGGTTTGGGGCTTGGTGGGTTATAGACTTGAAGTGAAGCATTTCAATATGTCGTTAATTTGGGGGACTGAAATAAGTGGTGCTATTTGACATGCTGAGTGCATAACACAAATATAATATTCAAATTAAATATTATGCCAGATGTACCCACGCTCCATACATATAGTTTGCAAATGTTGCTTATTGTGCATTATGCATATTATGATTTCCTTTGATACCTAAAACTGTGAACTTTTGTTAGAATATGCATTATTTTGCTTCCAAACTCTTAACTCCATGTTGGTAAAATTGTGTAAATTAAAATCTGGTCTTTAAAAAGAGGGCTCTTTGGGCTTCTTCAAATGGAGTCCGAAAAAGAGTTAAAATCAACTTAAGCAAAAAAATAATTATTTGCTGTGTGAACATAGAAATGTAATTTTAAAATTCAATGTAGGTTTTGGAACACAGAGAGCACTTTTGGAATATTTGATAATACTTAATTGACAACAATATGCTGTTTAGACTTTTTGAGTAGACCCACATAAAAATATTAGGATCTGGCATAGAGCAGTAATGTGCTATTCTTTCTATTGCCAGTGACATAGGTCTGCTGTCATCAACATGTGCAAATCACTCAAATAACCCTGGCCATTACATAGACTATTTTATGCAATCTACACCATAGATTACGTTTCCATCTTAGTTGTTTCTTGGTTATCCCATTACAAGTTTTTTAAAAAACACTTTTTCACTTTCACTTGTCTTCCTTTGAAATATTTTTATTTTACCCTGCTGTGAATATGGACATAGACATAAGGAAATGAAATTTAGTTCTACAGTCACTTACTGGACACTTTTGTAAAAATCCTCACCTGAGAATATATTTTTATTGATTTTAGAGAGAAGAAAGGAGAGAGAAACATTGATCACTTGCCTCCCATAAGTGTTATGATGAGGGATGGAACCTGCAACCTAAGTATGTACCCTGACTGGGAATTAAACCTCCCACTTTTCTGGTGTATGGGACGATATTCCAACCAACCGAGCCACCTGGCCAGGGCACTTATTGGACACTTTTAATATACTTAACCACTGTGTTATGCATAAGTAATACAAAGGTGAAAAAGACATAGACCTTGTTCTCAGAAAGCTGACACTATAGGAACTGAGGTGTGGAAACAATATATATCAATTCTGGTTTATTTGTCTCCAAAGTGAATGCTCTCTCATTGCCTAAAGCAATAGCAGTTTGGAAGTGTAAAGGGATGGTGAGGCTTTCAGTCACAGGACATGAGTTTGGATGGTAGCTCTGTTACTTGATAGCTGTGACCTGAATTCCAGCCGACTCATTAGAAAAAAATGAAGATAATACCAATGCAGTTGTGATGTGGAATGAATGAGAAAATATTTGTCAAACTAGTCTGTCCATTACTTGGTACATCCTTGATAATAATTAGTTTACTTCTTCCTCATTTAACTCTGAATATTTGCTGGATAACTATCAACTATACTGCAGTATCTATAAAAAGGCTGTCTTTTCCTTCTAAGCATTGTTTTGACTATATTTCACATCTGTATTTTTTTATGTGAATCTATCTCTATATCTGTATCCTTGCAGTCTTCTTCTTCTCCTTCTTCTTCTTCTTCTTCTTCTTCTTCTTCTTCTTCTTCTTCTTCTTCTTCTTCTTTTAGAGTTAATTCACCTGAGGATACTTTTCCATTGATTTTTAGGAAGAGTAGAAGGGAGAGGGAAAGACAGAAGAAAAACATTGATGTGAGAGAAACACATTGATTGGTTGTCTCTTGCACGAGCCCCAACCAGGGCCCAGGACGGGGAGGACCCTGCAACCAAGGTCCTTGACGATATTTGAGCCTGAAACCCTTTAGTCCACAAACAGATGTTCTATCCACTGAGCCAAACCAGCTAGGGCCAGTCTTCCTCTTTACTTGGTATTATATATTTTCATTCCTATTTCATTGTATATTGTCTTGACATAATTCCCATTTTTTTTTATTGACTGAAACATTATTGTCCATATCCCTTAAATTCTTTACAATCCCCATAGTGAGAGCAGGCAGCCATCCCTCCTCCTATTTGCACCTGGGCTTCCCCCTGGTTTGTTAGAGAGAGAGATGATTTTCCTGCCATCCAAAGCAAGTCTACCCACGTAGATTTTATACAAGTTCCCATTTTCTCAGGAGCTCTCCTGTCTCTCCCATCATCCCTCTCTGCTGCAGTATTTCCAGGAATATCTACCAGTCACTCCAATCCTGTAACAAAACAAGTCTTTCCCTCATTCTTGCAGCTTCCTCTAGCGACCTTTGTACATTTTTCCTCCCTTTAATGGCAAGTTTCTGGAAGAAGCATTTTACATTTCTTTTCTCTACTCAGTTTCACTCCAGTCCTTGTCCACTCTAGTCTGACTAACTCAACCAACACTCAAGGAAAACTGCTTTCACTAAAGAATTTTACGACATTTGGTTTCTGAAATCCAACCACTTTGAAGGAATGTTTCTTGTCTTATTGACCTCTGTGCCGAATTGAAGAGTGGACCATTGCCCAGCTCTTCATTTCGGCCATAAGGACCAATTTGCTGTGATCTCTCTCACGTCTCACATCGCATCTGTATTCTTCCAGCCAGAGCTTTTGTGTCTTCCCTGCCCCATTCGCTCTATCCTTTGCATAGCCTGTGACAACTGGTCAAAAATGAAACTTTATAAGTAAAAATATGTTACTAAGAATGGCAAAAAGTGTCTAGGAATGGTAACGAACGACTCTAAAATATCAGTGGTTTAACAGATACAGTTTTATTTCCCACCCATGCTTGGCCCAAGGTGGGTGTTTGATGTGGGCAGCTCTCCTGGGTTGCTTCCCTCCAAGGAGGGAATCTGGGATGCAGGCTCCTTCCGTGTTTGGCTGCCACTAACATCAACACGGAGGTATCAGAGGTACTGAAGGAAGGGAAACCATTATGGCAAGAGCATAACGACTAATTATCCGCCTCAGTCTGGAAGGGACACACATCACTTCTAATAACCTGCCATCAGCCGGAATAGCCACGCGGCTTCCCATAGATGCCAGGTGGCCCGGAAATGGAGTCCCTGGTTGAGCAAGTGCTTCCCGGGAGCAACTCTAAAGCCTAGAAGAGAAGCGCAGATCTTCATTGTTAGCCAGACACAATTTATTACATTTTCAACTTTTATCTGACAGTTCTGGGTAATGATTGCATTTACACTCCCAAAGGGTAACTAAGTGCTCTTCTGTGTCTCACCAATGATCGCTATTAACACTCGCTGTTATTTGAGACGCTGATGCATTTAATGTCCTAATGAGGTCCCAGGGAATGTAGCAGATTGTCTAAGAAGAGACCTGTCTCTATCTTCTCTCAAGTAAAACAGCTTTTCAGTGTCTCTCTGCCTCATTGATTCACCCTATTTTTAAATCTCATCTGAAAACATTCCCTTCTCCCTGGATTATGCCTCTTAATTTACCCCTTCCTTTGCTCTTTATTATTTAACTGTGTATTGTTTAATTAAATCAGGCTACCTGACTGTGTATTGAAGATGTTATTCAAAGGAGAGCTGTCATACAATATTTAGCATTTTTTTTTGTTTCACTTGATGTTTCCAAAGCACTTTATAGCATTAATTAGTAAATTGTCACAACATTTCCAGGAGGTAAAATAATTATATGCTTTTCTTTTGAGAAGTAGCCTGTCTCAGTGAAAGACAAAAGGATAGACTTTGTTTCATGGGTGCATCTGTGCTAAACTCCTTCCCCTTGGTCTAAGACAGTAGTCAGCAAACTCATTAGTCAACAGAGCCAAATATCAACAGTACAACGATTGAAATTTCTTTTGAGAGCCAAAATTTTTAAACTTAAACTATATAGTTAGGTACATTGTTATTGACTTAATTAAGGTACTCCTAAGGCTTAGGAAGAGCCACACTCAAGGGGCCAAAGAGCCACATGTGGCTCGCGCGAGAAACAGAATTTCTGGAGGATGAGGCCCAGAAATCAGGATTTTAAAAAGATTCCCAGGTGATGCTAATGTGCAGCCAAGGTTGAGAACCACTGGAAGACCAATTGAAGTTTATAATGACAAAAATACCAGCAATACTTTCTTGAGGTCCTACAATGCGTCAGAAATCATGGTAAATACCTTATAAAGGATTTAACCTTTACAAAGCTTAAATCTTTAATTGTCACAGTATCCCAATTATGTAGTTTAAGGTATTATGTCTGACACCACCCACCTCCTTCACACTATTAAAAAGAGGTGTGTGTGTGTGTGTGTTGCGGGGCGCGGGGAGAGGGCCGAGGGGCGTAAGTAAAGAGGTCGCTCTACCGTGGCTCCTTCAGAGCAGGCTGCTGACCACTCTCCTGGTGGTAAAGCACCAAGAAGCAACTGGCTACCAAAGCCACCGGAAAGGGCGCGCCCTCAGTGGATGGGCAAACAGACCTCATTGTTACCGGCCTGGCACTTCGGCACTTGGTGAAATCAGGCATATGGGAAGCCCACTGAACTTCTGATTCGAAAACTTCCAGGGTGCAGCGCTGGGTGCCCTGCAGGAGGCCAGTGCTGAGTGGGGGGGACTTCCTGAAACGGACACCAAGTATGGAAACCATAAAGGAAATGTTTAAAGGGGTAGCCATGTAGAGATTTAAAAACTTTGTACCAAAACATTAACGTAAACAAGATAAGAAATAACTATATTTGGAGAAACTATTTGCAGCACATATGCAAAGTTAATATTTTATTATAACAAAACTTTTTTTAAAATGGAAAGAATAAAAAAATTAGAAAAAATGGGAATAGAAAAGTAGGCAAAAACATGTTATGCATGTAAAATAAGGATT